GCAATTACCACCTCCTTGGTTACTCGAGCGAATGACGCGTTATCAAAATGCGGTATGAACGAGTCGATAACTTTGTTGTTTTTATTGTTATCTCAGGCTATTATACTATTTGTGAAGATATTACGTAGATTACGACACTTGATTAAATTATTATCTAATAATTGTTTTGATGTTGTACCTATGCTTCGTATGTTGTACTCGTACCAAAAATGTGTCGTTTGCTCTGTCGCCCCTTTTTTGATAAGAATGTTAATTTTATTTATATATTGATCTTTGAACTTTGAGTTGCCTTTGAAAATTCATGAATAAAATATTTTTTTGTAACTGAATTAAACTGTCAAACACCAAGCGGTCACCGGTGACCGCAACCTATTGTTCTATAATTGTGTCTACAAAACCGGTACTCGACGAGTTAAATTGCTATCATAAATATGAAAAAACTAAAATTACAAAGGGATGAATACTAAAATTAGTCCTTGAAAACCCATAGTATTTAATTTTAGTCTGTCTAGGCCAAATTTACTTACTATGAAAGTTTGCTACTCTTTTTAGGTACTGTTAACCGATATGCGAAAAACTACCAAAAGTACTCTTTTTATTATTGGTGTTGCTTACCTACACTGTGAAAATTATGGACAGCCAAGAGATGTGCTAAAGTCTTACAGAGGACATTAAAGGCAACCCGGGAAAGGACGGAAACGGACACTACCTATACGACGAAAATCCCTGTGCGGTTGTTTTTTTTTTTTTGAAAAAACGGAAATGAATTCATTTTGAAATAATTGTATTTTACAATAAATAGATTTAACTAACTCCAGAGAGACGCTACGGCGTCCTCACCTACCGCCTGATGCAGGTCCTCACAGGACATGGAAGTTTCGGGAGGTACCTGTGTCTGATGGGGCGGGAGGAAACGCCCGGATGTTATCACTGCGAGGACCGAGGACCGCCCTGAGGACATGGTGGAACACACAGTTGGGGAATGCCCTGCGTGGGCTGAGCACCGCCGTGCCTCAGGGATGTGATCGGCAATGGCGACCTCTCGCGTCCGGCCCTAGTGCGGGTCATGATGCGGAGCGAGGGGGACTGGGATGCCGTCTCCTCCTTTTGCGAAACAGTCATGCTAGCTCAGGAGGAGGCGGGACGCGTGAGGCAGCGAGGCGCTGCCTCCTCGCAACCCAACCATCGCGAAAGACGCTGCGGGCGTCGGGGATCGCGGGACGATCTCCGGCCACCGTAAGCGCGGGCCTGTGGACGGCGAGCATGGGTGGCTCGCCACCCGACCAGAACCAGACCCAAGCGTACGGCGCGTCGCGTTCCGCGCGCGCCACAAAGAGCCATCAGACCACCACGGATGGGTCCCAATAGGGCTGATGCCTATTCAGAGCCGTGGAGAACCTAACGGGTCACCTGGGCTCCGGCTCGAACTGCAGGAGTATGAACGGGGTGGTTTTTAGTCCATAAGAGTCTGACACTCCCTCCAGCCTCACCTAGGCGGGAGAAGGCAATCGATGAATTTCCCCTCTTGAAAAAAAAAAGTGTTAGTTAATTCCATTCCAAATAATTTGAATTTTCAATTAGTCTTTTCCAAAATAGACTAATTGTTTATTCAACAAATTCGGCCAGAAATCATTATTACACGCGGACGCGTGTTTTTATTACAATTTCAATTAGATAGAAACGATGGTAAAATAAAGATGACTTGTTTTTACATTTGTTCTAATAGTTAATGTAACTACTTAGTAGAAGGACTTCTTCAAATCAAATATTAATAACACCATCAAACATGTTTTGGGAGAATTTAAAATCCACCTCGCTGCCTCTAAAGTGTGACATTGAATTGAACTAACCGCACATCTTTAAGATCTAAACAAAATAAATAATATTGTTTGAATGTTCCCGGCTATACAATTACTTCCTGGACGTCTTACACCTACTATGAATTTAATAGGTTTTCTGATTGCGTCCACTCTCTTAATGCATGACATGAAAATTCTAAGAATAATAACCAGCCTAAAGTCAAATGCCGAAAGCTATGATCAGATAATACTCAATATTTTTGTTTTAACCATACCACAAACTTACAATGTGCTGACGCGTCTTATAAATGCCTCCATAGTGACGGCGACTTTTTCGGGCGCCTGAAAACTAGCAAAAGGGCGTCCTCTACCCAAAGTAAACAATCCTAGCGATCTTAAAGCTCTAAGCTCTATTAGCATTTTACCTTTAATATCTAAGGTCTAGGAAAGGGTGGTAAACGAGCAAGTCTCCAAAATCGAGGACAGCGGCGTTCTGCCGAATGCGCAGTCTGGTTTTCGGAGGGGGCGTAGTACAGCCACGGCTTTGTTGGGCGTCACCGATAATACACTGGCTACGCAGGATGAGGGTATGTGCACTATATTGGTCCTATTGGAATTTTCGAGAGCATTTGATGCTTTAGGGATCGTAGTTAGGAGGATCCCTAATTGAGCACTGCCTCTTCTGGTCGTGGGGTGCAGGGGGTTGAGAGAAACAACGGTGTTCAGATACCGGATATATTCACGTAAACCCCCAGATAGAACCGTTCACTCGGACCAGTGCGCAGTAACTGTCCGTGCCTCGCATACTTCACGCTCACACACGTTTTTGCTTGCCTTGCACTCTGTACACACTTACATGTGTCCCTACAATGCTATTAATTTATCTCTTTTACTTTCTGAAATGGCGTACTACGGATTTGACATACCAACAATTAAATGGTACGGCAACCGTGCGCAGCTGGTTGAAATTCACGATTCTAATGTTTTTATCTTGGCTTCGGAGGTAAAACCTGTGACGAAGGGGGTTCTCCAAGGATCTATATTAGGGCCTACTCTCTTCCTGTGCTGACATCATCAATATAATAAAACCGTGTAAATATAATATTTACGCTGACGATATTCAAATTTACTTGTCTTTTAGATCGGAAGAATACGCGAGTACTATGAACGCAATTAATGCGGACCTCGACAGGATAGTGGACTGGGCAAGCAGTAACTGCTTCATCTTGAATACATCCAAAAAAATGTATGCTTTACGGAACGAAGATGCAACTGTACAAGACTCCTTCTGGTACATAATACTAACCTTGGGTCAAATCATTGAGCGTGTCGATGAAACGCGGAATTTGGGACTGGTAATGGATCAAAGTCTAAGGTTTGAGTCCCACATCTCTAATTGCGTCAGAAACAGTTTTTATCGTCTGAAGACACTCTATTAAATGCGCCGTGCCGTGTGTACAGCTAGTTGAGTCGTTGGTTTTATCCAAACTAAACTATACTTACACGATCATTGGACCCAGAACATTTTCACGGACTGAGCGATTTGGTTCAGAATACTTGCGTACGTTTTTGTTTTAAAATTCCACCTAGGATTCACATAACAGACCTTACTTAAACAAATACAATCTTCTAAAAATGAAGTCTCGACGTAAGTTCCACCTTGCGTGTCTCCTCTTTGGTGTGATTAAGTACAAGTGTCCAGCATACCTCTACTCAAAGCTCTCGTAGGTGAATGCTCGTCGGCAGCGGGTGGGTAGGCGGTATGCACCACTGCTGGTTATATCGCAACATAAATCGACTGCTTTTCGGGGTAGTTTCCGATATGCGGCTTCTAAGTGTTAAAACAACATACTTCCGCCAATCAAGAACCTGCAAAGCACATTTAGTTTTAAAAGAAAACTCCTTACCTAAATTTGGTACACATATGTATGTCACATTTCCACATAGCATTTCCATCTTCATTTATTTTTATCATATTAAATGTCATTTATTTATATTTTTATTTTCGCCTCTAGCTAGGCTTAAAACTAGCGCGAGGCCCTGTCTTGCACATGCTGAACTCGTCCCATTTCACCGCAGACTTGGGACCTGTGCTTGGGACATTAGTAGATATATTTTGTAAACTCATTACTTATTAAACTTATGTGTAAAATCTGTATGTGTCACCTGTTTTTTAGCGTGTGAAATAAAGCTTTTCTTTCTTTCAAATTATAGGGCTGGCTATCATTTTCAATAAACGTATAGACTACGGTGATACAAAAAATAAAAAATAAAATCAAAAAATCCCTGATCTTATAAAATGCAGCAAAGTTATCCCACTGTTTAAAAGTGGTGACACTAAAGAACCCAATAATTATGGGCCTGTATCTGTTTTGCCGATACTCAGCAAAGTGTTTGTAAAGTTGACACTGTCTCAGATGCTTCATCATTTTAATAAAAAATCTCTTTTTCACCATCAGCAATACGGTTTCACTAAAGATTGTTGAATAACTGACGCCAGTGTGACTTTGATGAAAGAGGTATTTTTTGCCATAGGTGTTTTTGTGACCTCTCAAGGGCATTTGATAGAGTTGACCACGAGACACTTTAATTGAAATTAGATCATTACGGGATTAGAAATACTGCACTCTGTCTATTACAATACACCCTCTGCTTATGCTCATTCAAGGGGTATGAGCACCGTGTAAGTGCTCAAAAAAACATAAATCTCTAATTGTATAAAAGTGTTTTTTTGGTATCAAATTACCACACAAGGAAATTTTTAATAAAACAGATTATAAAAATAATAATAAATCATTTAATCTTAACTTAATCCACTTCCATTAAACAACTGCAATGCACTATCATCATAATGACATTTACCAGAAAAAAAATATTGAACTACAGTAAACGTCTTAAGACCAACACCAACAACAACGTAGGTAGGAATTTTAATCTTGAATGTTTAGTCTATAAAATACAACTACTCTCAGATGCGACTGTTATAAGTTATGTTCTTTAGAATCACCATTTAATCCACTCTCGTCCCTATAATGTATGTGTCCACTGGCCAAGAGTGGATTCTTCTTTTTTAACAAACAATGGTTTTAGTAGGGAAATATTTTCACGGAGTAAGCTGATAAACGAGCAAATTGATCGGCGCCACCCATGGACACCTGAAACACCGAGATCCACACAACACAAGTGCGTTACTGGTCTTTTGGGGACTAGGGATCTGAGAATTGTTGTTGATTTGGGGATTGGGGAGATTGGGGAGCCCCCTCCCCCGTAAATGGGCCCTCTTGCAAGAAAACTTAATAAGTAAAAAGACATATAATCACGTCTACTTATTTGAAGTGTTCAATATACCTGCTTAAATAATTTGTTTTGGATTTCTGGTAATAACATACAACACAAACCGGAAATTATTCCCGAATGCACTATGACTATTGAAAACCTCAACTTTATCAAATATAACGTTAATATATCACAGATTAGCTTTCATCATCGGCCTCAAGTACTTGTAGTAAGCTTGGGTGACTGGCTCTTTGTTCATAGGACTCCTCAAAGCTTCGTCCATCAGACGCTCGTAGGCACGACCATCGTATGATCCCAGGGTTGAATGTAGAAGCTGGAAGAAGAATAAGCATTTGGTTACCACTTTTAAGAAACCCGATTTAATGTTTTATATTCACAAGAAAATGCTTATAAATGGATAAACATAGAGGAGAACCCAATAGCATATTGTACCGAAAATCAAAATAAATAGAATCGAATGCAATGGTTGATTAATGTACAGTGTGACAGATCCGCGTGATCACATTAAAATTTGATTATTTGAACCCGCTAAAAACATACCCCATAAATGTCTAAACTAATACAAAAGCAATAACGTCGCAGCTTAGTGATGCAACCCGGTTAATTCCTTAGTCAGTGCTGCGTTTGATGTTTTTTGGCTACCTGCGCCGACGCGAGCCCCACCGATCTTCACACACTTGAATATCCTCGGCTAAAGATCTCATCAGATGCAAGCAAATATTAATTTAGTGGTGATCAGGCTGATGTGCCGCTCATTGTACTTATGGTAACTAAGGTAAGGATTTTCTAAGTATTTTACTTAATGCCAAGATTTGAAACAAATTATCATGTTTGGTATTCACTCTAAGTGACAACGAGGCACTGGCAGTTTATAAATAATAGTTATAATATAAAGGAATATTTACTTCGTCCCGAAGATCGAATGCTTCGACAATACCAACGGCATTAGGTCTAATCTTCTGAAGCTGTTCTTCATAAGCCAACTGCAGCTCCACGATATCCTTCTCCGATATCGACGTGTACTGTAAATAAGCATTAGTTTATAAAAAAACTAAATCTATTTATAATATCTAGAGATATTACCACAATTTTTTTACACAATTTGTAGATCACATAGATATTCCCACTTATTTTTTTACACAGTTTGTAGATCAAATAGATATTCCCACTTAATTTTTTACACAATTTGTAGATCACCTAGATATACCCACTTAATTTTTTAATCTCTTTAAGTTCTTAATCATTTACAGCATTGCGTGACAAACGACTTGAGGTACATCTGTACAAACAGTAAAAACTCTTTACCAGCAATAAGTCCCCAGTCCTTTCCAGAGCCCAGTAGTAAAGGTAGAGGGTCGACAGTTGTTCCATTACAATCTTCACATTGGGACTCGAGTTAGCAGTAAGTCTCATGATTTCACTTCTGTACGCATCCGAGATCACAGCACGGCAATGAGCCTGAAGAATGCAAAGAAAGAGATTAAATCAAAATAATAAATCAAAATTATCATAATATTTCTGACTGAGTCAGTGGGGGTCTTGGGTGCAGAGCGCAAATTATATATTTATTATATATTATACCTCAGCCGCAGACACCAATTGTATAGTCGACATCTCCCAAGCATCCACTTCAGATAATCCCGACCGCATATGTTTCCTCATATTTTTCACACATGAAGATAATTTTCTGAAACAAAGTTCAAAACACGCCTTTACAATTACGAATACATATGACCATAGATTTAAATACCAGTAAAAATGTAAGTATATCTATTGTTTACAGTATATCGAAAATTATTAATGAATATGAATGGACTGATAGTAATTGAATGCATTAAGTATTTGTTACATATTCGTTTATTTACCAATTAAAATAACGAACATTGCAGTGGTCGAGGTCGCGAGTAAGACCACAAAACAAGGAATTTCAACTTCCACCACGCACGGTTGGTGCGATGGACGGGCAACCGGCTGCCGTGCAATTCTGGCGGCGATCCCGCAGGTTCGATTCTGGCGCTCTTTGTGTGATCCACATATTATTGTTTCAGGTCTGGGTGTCATGTGTATGTGAACTTATATGTTTGTAAACGCATCCACGATACAGGAGAAAATCTTAGTGTGTGAGTATTTAAAAAAATAAAAGTATTGTTAAGTTTTTGACTTGCCCCGAAGGACAACAAAACAAGTAAAAACTTGGTGGCATTTTTCAAATTATTACCTTTGCCTATCTTGAATGAAAGGCCTAAATTGAATAGGCATTATAAAAACAATGCTGTCAATCTTTACTTATAATAAAGCATCACCTGACACTTGCAGTATAGTCGACAACATCGTATTGGAGACTCGATTGCCAAAGAAGAAAAAAAAAGCATCAATTTAAACTTACCCTGCAGCGAGAGCTTGAAAGGATCTGACGATGCCCGCAGGGCTGCTGTCCCAGGGCTCCTTACGAGAGAATGCCAGTTTCAGGTAGGAAACGGTTGGAGTCAGTGGCTGCTTTGCTTCAGCCTGCTCATATGCTTTTACCAAAAACCTGAAAACAGAGACATAAGATGTCAGAGCCGTAGCTAATAAGCTACTTAAAGTAACTTTTAATTAGTGAATTCATAAGAGCCAGTAATCGTAAGAACAATTCAAGGTCAGAGATCGTATTTATCTTTAGTTAAAGAAACAGTAAAATTGCAAATCTTCGATAATTTTTTTCACACTCTGGATGAAGTACCTCAATGGATACTAGGATATTATAATCCCACTGCGGTAGTATCTACACCCTTACTAAAACCCATAGATCATCTCAGTTGATCGTTTCATCAAAAATACGTTTATTGTTATCACCAACCTAGCAGTCTGTAGAAGCAACACAGTGTAATCTCCCTCGTAAGTCCTGGTAGCAGACACGAAGTTGTAAAGATGCGGGATGCCAGATGAGATCATATAGCCGTGACCTCCACACGCGTGGCGACACTGCTCTATCAAGAATGCAGCATCAGACGTGCTCACTGCCTTCAGACAACTCGAGAGGGCGTGGAACTGAAAGAGGAATTAATAAATCTTAAATTTTAGAAGCTTTAAGTCTTCTGAATAATAGTAAAGTCGCAAAAGATCTAGTGTCCCATATCTATATGGATAAGCTCCAGAGATATTATTCAAATTACATTTTGTCGTAAACAATATAGGTCCATACCTCAGGAAGCTTATCAGTATTGCCATCCTTCATTTCACTAAGCACAGCGCTGAAGCTCTGCCACAACCAACTGCTGGACAATTGTAGTGCATGCGCAGTTGCTATGGTGATGAACAGCTTGTGCTGCTGTGTCGCGTAGTCCAAGATCTGAGGTTCAGCTTCACTGGAAATGAGAGAGAATATCTATTAGGAAGTGTGAAAATTCTTAATGAGAGATATGAAAAGATATATATTGCTAGATTTCTAATTCAGTGAAGAAAACTACGCATTGGCACTAGCCAACTATGGTCGAGCAAAGCTTTAAAGTCCTTAACATTCTACGAGGAAATCTACTTACTCAGGCTTCGGTCGTGACTGTCTGCGAATAGCGGAGTACCGCACAGCGATGGTGCAAGCCTTCGCCAGGTTAAAGGCAGCCTCGTTGACCAAGATCACTCGAACAAACACCATCGTCCCGTAAGTCAGCTTGCCATGTCTCGCCACTTTCACGTAGGTACCGTCCTGAAATGACATAGGTCACCATGAGAAACCATAGGCTACTGTGTTGCTTCAGGTTTGAAGTAATGGCTGCACGTATTGGTTTCCAAAATCGTGTGAGTTTATACGATATTTTTGGCAGTATTTAGGATAGACAAGTAAAAGTTCTTGAGGTGAAAAGTGGTGTTTAGACCAAATAAAATTTAATTCCTGACATTTCCTTCTCTCACGTGCTTCAAACTAGTGTTAACTTATACACTATCTCTTAGGAAGTATGTAGCCACTAACCTTCAAAACCTGTGCATTCTTCATCATCATATGTTCCCTAGGTATCCTGTAATGTTTGAACCCTAGGAACCCATTGTCAGCCGTGTTGAATCCCATCTTTGGTCCGATTTCTCCCACAGTGATGCCTGGGAGCGGCATGTGAGTATCCTCATCTCGGATCTGAACGATGAATGGATGGGTGCCATGGCATTCACCCTTCGTGTACAGCTGGGCTACCACGATGCAGTAGTTTGCTGTGTTTCCAACTGGAATATAAATGGAATGAGGATTTCATTTAGGAACTCACGTAGCACTATTTCAAATGGCACTATATGTGTATTGATTGCCTCATTGCTTGTTGGTGATGTCATCGTCAGTACAGTAGCTTATAATAGAGAGTTGGAAATCTTAACACGGTGTATTACGCTTGCAATAAAGTTTTTTATTAACTACACTGAATTTCATCTTCTATCATCCTACCACTTGTATGCTGACGATTTGCAAATTTATTCACAGGCACCTCCTCATGAATTCTCCGAATCAGTTAAAATGATAAATACAGATCTGGCGCGAATTTCGGAATGGAGTAAGGTTCACGGGCTACGGGTTAACCCTTCGAAGACACAGCTCATTGTTGTGGGTAGCTCTCGACTGAGCTCAAGAATAAATTGGTCGCAGGTCCCACCAGTTGTATTCGATGGCACTACAATAACATACAGTGACTCGGTGAAGGATTTGGGTGTTATTATAGACCGAGACTTTACCTGGGGACCCCAGCTGGGGGAGGTCAGTCGGAAAATGTTTGCATCAGCGAAGTCGTTGAGTAGACTTCGAAACTTTCTTCCTACTGCTACTAAAATTACGCTCGCTCAATCACTTCTTCTTCCCATCCTTGACTATGCCGATGTCAGCTATCTAGACATTACCGAGGTACAGCTAAATAAGCTTGAGCGACTCCAAAACTTCAGTATAAGGTTCGTATTTGGTTTACGCAAATATGACCACATTTCCGAATATCGCAATAAACTCAAGTGGCTTCCGATCCGCCTTCGCCGGAATATGCATATCTTATCCTTACTTTACAGTATTCTGTATAATCCTGCAACCCCTAAATATCTTAAAGAACGCTTCAAGTTCCATCATGACACACATTCAAGATCCTTAAGAGCGTCGGAGAGGTTGAGGCTTGAGATGGCTCAGCATTCTACTAGGACGTATGATAAATCATTTACGATTCAGGCTGTTCGCTTGTGGAATGCACTCCCAGTGTCGGTAAGACAAGCACGGTCAATAGCTACCTTTAAAGCTAAAGTTAAGGATTATTATATGTCCACGTCATAGATCACGCTAGCTCCCTTATATACTTATTTAGGTTGTATGTGTGTAGTTGTATATATATATAGATATTTATTTATTTTATATATATTTATGTTCGGTATGTATGTATGTATGTGTATGTAGTTAGGTATATATATATATATATATTTGTTATGATAGTAGTTAATATTTATGTATGCCATCGGACTACCCTCTTAAATTAATCAATGCTCCATACACCCAAAGGTTGCCTGGTAGATATCGCTTTTAGCGATAAGGCCGCCCTTGTACCCTCTTTATTTTCTGTAATTTCTTGATATTGTATAATTACTCGCTTGGTGTACAATAAAGCATATTATTATTATTATTATTATTTCATTTTTTTTTCACTTTGGTAGCGTCGCCTAAATAAAGACTTCCTGGTCTTAGCAAAGCATTTTTTCATAAAAATCTAATCCATCCTAAACACAATGGAAATACTCACGGCCTCCCGCCCACCACTTGTAAGAGGACAAAGTAGGGCTGTGCAGAACAAACTCTTCAGTCTCTGGATCGTATGTAGCAGTCGTCTCCAGCCCTCTTATGAATGTACCGTGACCGAGCTCCGTCTGAAACAAGACAATTTTTATATTTACTTATTACTTTACTTAAGGAGGATTTTTTATTTATTACTTTTCTTAAGGAGCAGACAAACCCGTGATAAGCAACCAGTACTATCTGTAGACCATGTGTTATGGCAACGGGGCAATCAGTATGCGGTCACTTCGTGACACAGCGAAACAAGGCATGCGTTGCAGTTAAATTACAGAAACATAAGATGTCAGAGCAATAATCAGTAAAGCTTAACATGCTTAAAACAGAGCCCTGTAACAGAGAAACCCATCAGAAAACCAACCAAGTAAAACACATCGCTGACAATATACAACAAACTAATTACAAATGCAATTAGGACAATGAATTCTAAACCCTGGTTCAACGCCTCACCTGGGCGTAGGTCCCGATGATTTGCATGTCCATTGCTCTTGGCAGCCAATAGGACAGCTGCTCCGAAGTACATTGGCCCATGATGGTTGGCACAAACATGCCCATATGGAGTAAAAATGGAGACACTTCTTTGAAGAAAGCATCTGCCGTGCGCCTGATGACGCCGGAATTAATTCTGAAATCGAATAAAAAGAACATTGAATTTTTGAACTCCGGGTCACCTGCCAATTATGAAAGTTATGGCAAATTCGCTTTGTGTAGTTAATCCTAGAGTACAGTAGGTAGTAAACTTAATATGATTGTACTTTATTATCCTGGGTATACTAATACACTGGGTACTTTTTATTTCGAAAAAGTAAATAAGTAACCTACACTAAAAAACAAACTGACTTGACTGCCTCGTTGGCAGAGTGGTCGTAAGTGCGACTACCGGGCAACGGGTCTCGGGTTCGATACCCGGATTGGGCAAAATATTATTGTTATTTGAAAAATTCTCAGCAGGAGCACGGAGTCTGGAATTGTGCCCGGTATATGGCAATAGGCTCACCCCCTATTACATGAGACTCATAACATAAATAGTGAAAAGTGGGTGATACATTGTACAGTGGCATAATGTGCACCTCTGCCTACCCCATCGGGGATAAAAGGCGTAAATTATGAAATTATGCGGCTCGATCCCTAGACACAATTACTGTACCAAACGTAATAAGTCTATCCAATATTAGGTTGCCCATAGTGGACGTTACGCTCTAACTGTAGGACTGATGGTTGAAATTAGCTTGAACCGGTATTATAACTGCAAAAATTATTGAGTTTGTGTGTATGTTTGTTACTCAGTCACATTAAAACGGCTGAAGGGATCAGCATGAAATTTGGAACAGAGCTAGATTATAGTCTGGAGCAATACATAGGTTCATTTTTACCCCCGGGAACGCGGGCGCAGCCACCGGCAGAAGGTTTTATGTAAACATTAATATATGTCTTATATTTCGGTTTCCACTTAAACCTATTACAAATACGTATGAGTAATAAAGACTATATTCTAATACTATAACAATGTACTCTTTAAATCATTATTTATTGAGCAACGTATTGTTATTTTACTTAATAAATAATGTAGATATAATTCAACACAGATATAATGTACCTATTACAAATTGAATACCACTATGTATAATGCAAATATGTATATTACGATTACTTTGCGTCAGTAAATAATATAAACCACTTCACAAAGTTTAACAATCTGCACTTCAAGTTACTATTGTGTTACATTTACAATTGAAATTGATTTATAAAACGAACGTTATAACTATTTTTGTAACTGAAAGCATACAAAGTGATGTTGAACTATCTACAAAATCCAAACAAACATTTTGAAGCAAGTACTTTTTGTATATTGGGTTGGTGTTTGGCCACTATCTCGCCTTTAGTGCTAGCTTTTTTTAAGGGGGAAAATCATCGCATGACTTCTCCCGCCTGGGTGAGGCAGGAGGGACTGTCAGACTCTTACCGACTAAAAATCACCCCGTTCCTATTTTGCCCTTCGAGCTGGAGCCCCAGCAACCCGTTAAGTCCGTATCGGTATCAGTCCTATTGAGCCCCATCCGTGGTGGTCTGACGGCTCTTTGAGACGCAAGCGAAACGCGACGCGCCGTACGCTCGGGTCGGGTTCTAGTAAGGTAAGGCGGCGAGCCACCCATGCTCGCCGTCCACAGGCCCGTGCTTACGGTGGTCGGAGATCGCTATCGCCGCCTCCTCCTTAGCTAGCATAACGGCTTCGCAAAAGGAGGAGACGGCATCCCAGGCCTCTTCCCAACCTCTCGCGTCCGGCCCTAGTCCGGGCGCGAGAGGTCGCCGTCACCGATCCCATACCTGAGGGCACGGCGGTGTTCAGCCCACGCAGGGCATGTCCCTACAGTGTGTTCCACCGTGTCCACGGGGCGGTCCTCGCAGTGATTTTAGTGCTGGCTAGACCCTTCATTTTTTGACTGCACGGTTGGCACAATAGCTGGGCAACCGGCTACCGCACAATGTGTAACGGGTCCGATTCCCGCACTGAACAACTCTTTGTGTGATCCACAAATTTTTGTTCCGGATCTGGGTGCCACGACACAGAACAAAATTTTAGTGTGTAGCATAGCTACAATCAAAATCAAGAAATTCTGGTTCAATCCCTGATTGATTAGGCAATAATTTTAAAACTAATCTTTTTAATCGTTATCGCCATCAAGTCGTCTTATGACGTAAGTCAATTCTGCCAGCAACTTCGTAAGTAGAAAAAGGCGATTCCCGAATTTCCCGTTTTTGTGTAACTGATTACTGACTGAGGGAATTCCTCGCCTACCTACACTGCCCAAGTAACCAACATGCTAAGTTTTATCTTCCTAGGTCCGTTAATTTTGACTGTGCGTTGTCTATCAGTCAGTCCGTTAGTTAGTTAGTTAGGTACTCAGTAATGGAAGGGTTTTATATTAATTATTCGATGACCGAATGATTAAAGTTATACAAAAATCATTACCCGAAAGTTTCCAATCCAGTAAGATGAGCAAAGTGATTCTTGACAAGATCAGCATACAGGCATGACTTCCTCACAGCATTTTCATACTTCTCCTTTGGACTCATGTGTTCTTCTGGAAAGGAGTCCTTCGACGCTCCACTGTTTAAAGCTATGTCTTCTGTAAAAAGAAATAAGAAAGCTGAGTAGGTACTTTCTTTTTTTTTTAAATGGGGCAAGCTCGCCACAACCTCCCAAAACCGCTGCAACTCCTGTAAGCCAGGATCTACAGTAGATACAACCATGAAAACACCGGTACATTGAGTAGGTACTTAATGATATTTATAAAGAAAATAAAAGAATTAACTAAAATCGCGGGTTACTCACGTGAATATACTGAGAAATGCTCTACTAGTTTCGAACCACAGAGGGGTTCTTCCTCATGAGCAGCGTGCGTCGCGGCGACGTCGCGCAGCTCACACAGTGAGTAACCCGCGATTTTAGTTAATTTAGTATGTCTCACGATAGTTATTACAAAAACAAAATAAAAGATATTATATATTCAAGCGGTCGTGGTCTTCGGAGGAGATGTATGTTCTGCATAGGATGTGTTATCGCAGTTAAAATTAATAATTGATTAAAAATATTATATTTATTCTAGAAAGCTACATTACTAAACCATTTGACTAGGTAGATTTTATTCGAAAATCACACTGTAGTGACCTTAGTATTTTTGAAACATAATGTTAAAATAATGGTATGTACAAATCTGCCTCATGTTTCCGGAGAATTAGTACGATCAACCAACCAAACAATCTACCATTGATCTTTCAACAGAGGAAACTGTTTCCGTACGTATATCAAACTCGCGACAAGTTATGCAAGTGAAAAGCTTGATTACCCAGCCACTAAATCAACCGTGCAATTTATATGTCGACGTTATTGAATTGTTGATTCTAGGAAAATACTAAAAAAGGGATGTCCATATAAACGTAGGTTCGTGTGACTGACATGTGTGTACAAAAATCTATCCAAATCTGTCCCTAAACAGCTGATCTTTTGAATTACTTGAAAAAGTAAGGTACTGTTAGAACCTTAATAATAATGTTTACTCCATCGCCGTCTTGCATTCTTACCGAACTGCCTGTATATTAAAACTGCATTAATTGACATCAAACAAAAAAATCTATATTAACAATTATTTGCTATGAATACGAATTATTTTCCCGAATTCGATGCAGTTGTAGTCTAAGACTCAGGGTGCTGATATAATCGTGATCTTCGGATCTAGCCCAACTTGGTTTTCAGCCCAAATTCCTGATCTAGATCGGGTCAACATAGCCTTTCACCAACGTAACGCGCAACTGTGAGTGTAATTGTGTGTCCTGGGACATTAAATTCTATATTACACTTGTCCATAAACATAGTCAAAGTGTATAACTTTTTATTAAAATAAACTATTGTGTAATTCAAATGTGTTTTTTCTCATGACTGCCGATCCTGCAGAGTAACAGTTTGATATTCAAATATGAACTTTATACAAGGTTACAGGGTAAAATCCTTTAAGAGGTGATAGTATCCATTATTCCTTCCTTCCGATTTAACTAAGGAAACTTAACCTCCTAAACTTAACCGTTGTCAAGATATCGGCCTTTGTATAACTTTTATAAAAATTCCAGATTTTGGTTTATTGCACCCATTTTTTTGTTTGTGTCTCAATTTTCGTTCTGTTTTTTGCTATTTTTGTTTAGTTTTTTGCTATCTTTATTATTTGAAACCATAAAACTGTAAGTGACTTTACAAACAGAGGCGTAGAAGACGAAGGATTATTAAAACACGAATACATACATCTAGCTAACCACCTAGTAGTATTTACAAAATTAATTTAGAGTCTAGACTAAAATTGACGTATTCGGGGTTGCGAACGGTTGTAGTGAGCTGCCCCGTCTCAGCGGCCAAGAAAATAAAGGAGGGTCGAAGGCTCCTGGTAGGCTGGGTCTCGGCGCAAGTCAAACTGCTCGAGGTCCGACCTATAAGGTGTTTCCGCTGCCACGTAGGTGACCACGTGAGCGCTAGGTGCACCTCGGAGGTGGACCGCAGTGACTGCTGCTTCCGTTGCGGTCAGCCCGGTCACAGAGCCGGCTCGTGCTCTGCCCCGCTACACTGTCACGCATGTGCGGCGGTTGGTAAGCCGGCCAATCACCGGGTCGGGAGCAAGGCCTGTTCCCCTCCTGCCAAATCCCGGGGCAAGGGTAGGCCCTCCGCTGTCCCCGTCAGTCCCGCCCCCGCCGCTGCAGTCGCCACTAATGCCGTCGCCGCGGCCACCACTGGCTGTAATGCCGTCAGGGAGGAGGCTGGGATGGATTGCCAATAATAGCTCCATTCCGCCTCCTTCAGGCGAACATCAACCACTGCGCCGCCGCTCAGGATCTCCTGCTTCAGAGCATGGCGCAGTGGTCAATAAATGTCGCTGTGGTCTCCGAGCCGTATTTTGTCCCGCCCAGGGATCACTGGGTGGCGGACTTGGACGGCTCGGTGACCATCATCTCGTCAGCCGCCGCCGGTACCCCGACTCTCGAGGCCGTTCAGAGAGGCCGGGGTTGTGTCGCAGCACGGTTCGGAGAGATCGCTGTGGTGGGCGTGTATTTCTCTCCGAACCGAACTCTCGCCGAGTTCCACAACTCCCTGAGGGAGTTGGTCGCCGTCGTTGTCGGGTTCCGTTCCCTCCCCGTGCTAGTCCTCGGGGACTTCAATGCCAAAAACTTGGCTTGGGGTTCCCGGTTTACTGATGTTCGGGGTAGGATGGTGGAAGACTGGGCCCTTGAGGCAGGCCTAGTCGTCCTGAACCGGGGTTCTGTCCCCACGTGCGTGCGGATGCAGGGCGAGTCGGTGGTGGACATTTCGTTCGCTAGCCCTGCTCTATCACCGCGTGTCGTTGACTGGCGTGTCATGGAGGAGGTGGAAACGTACTCCGACCACCGGTATATCCGGTTTAACGTCTCCACCGAGTCCGCGGACCCGCCGGTCAGACAGGCCCCATGTGGCCCGCGTTGGGCGCTGAGACAGCTGGACCGGGAGCTATTCCTGGAAGCCGCAATCGTGCAGGCCTGGGTGATACCACCGCACAGGCCTGCCGACATCGACGAGGAGGCGAGGTGGCTCCAGGACGCCATGTCCAGAATCTGTGACGTGGCGATGCCCCGGGTCCGGCCAGGTCAGCGCAAGCGCCAGACGTACTGGTGGTCGCAAGAGCTGGCTGCTCTACGCAGTGCATGCACTGCTGCGCGACGCCGGTACACCAGGCACCGCAGGCTTCGTATCCGTCCTCAGGACGCAGAGGTCAGAGAGGCGGAGTTGTACGAGGGGTACAAGGCGGCGAAGGCCGCCCTCAAAGCGGAGATACGGCGGGCCAAAGAGAATGCCCTCCAGGAGTTCTTGGAGACTCTGAACAGAGACCCGTGGGGACGCCCCTATCGGATGGTGCGGGATAAGCTCCGCACATGGGCTCCCCCGCTGACTCAGAGTCTCCGGCCAGAGGTAGTGGAGGAGGTGGTCGGCGCCTTGTTCCCCCGACTACAGAGGGGTTTCACCCCTCCGTCCATGACTCCGCCCCCTGCGGTGCCCTATGCGGGCCACAGCGAAGACGACGGCGACACAGTTTCGGAGGTGACCGAGGCCGAGTTGAGAGCGGCGGTGCGCCGGATGGGCGCCAAGAACACCGCCCCGGGACCCGACGGACTGCACGGCAAGGCGTGGGTCCTGGCCTCGGAGGCTCTCGAGCCTCGATTAATTGGTCTCTACAGCGCATGCTTGGAGAGGGGCCAGTTCCCGCAATTGTGGAAGGCGGGTAAATTGGTCCTAGTGAAGAAGCCGGGGCGCCCTGCGGACTCTCCGTCTGCGTACCGGCCCATCGTGTTGCTCGACGAGGTGGGAAAAGTTTTCGAAAGGATCATTTCGAACCGCCTCGTCGCGCACCTGTCGGATGTTGGGCCGGACCTGTCGGACGGCCAGTTCGGCTTCCGCAGAGGGCGTTCCACGGTGGACGCCATCATGCGTGTAAGAGACCTCACGACGGGGACTGCAGTGTCCAGGGGTAAGGTCGTAGTGGCGGTGTCCTTGGACATCGCCAATGCCTTCAACTCCCTGCCCTGGAGCTGCATTTTGGAGGCACTTCGATATCATCGGGTGCCCACCTATCTCCGTCGTGTAATCGAGGCATACCTGACGGAACGGTCCGTCATTTACCCCGGTCACCGAGGTGAGTGGAACCGACGAGAGACGTCGCGCGGTGTTCCACAGGGTTCGGTTTTGGGGCCGCTCCTGTGGAACATCGGCTATGACTGGGTGCTGCGCACCGACCTCCCGAACAACGTCAGCGTGGTCTGTTACGCTGACGACACACTGGTGGTAGCTCAAGGGAGGTCGCATCAGGCGGCGGCTAATTTAACGGCGAGAGCGGTTACGACAGTCGTTGAAAGAATCCGGCAACTGGGACTCGAGGTGGCGCTCCACAAGTCCGAGGCCATGTGTTTTTATGGCCGCGGGAACGCGCCACCTCCGGGTGAGTCTCAATTAACGGCGGGAGGAGTTACCATCGGCGTCGAGACGACGATGAAGTACCTAGGACTCGTCCTCGACAGTCGGTGGAACTTCGTGGAGCATTTCCGACGTTTGGCTCCTAAGTTGGAAAGGACGGGGGCGGCGCTTAAGCGCCTCCTACCCAACCTCGGGGGGCCAAACGCCTCCTGCCGGAGGTTATACGCCGGGGTCGTGCGGTCCATGGCCCTCTACGGCGCCCCTGTGTGGGCGCCGAACCTGATGCGGCGGCCCGCTCGGGCGCTGCTCACATCACAGAGGGTCATGGCGATCCGATTGATACGCGGATATCGCACGATCTCCGGGGAGGCGGCGAACCTCCTTGCCGGATTACCGCCGTGGGATCTGGAGGCGAAGGTGCTCGCGCGCGTGTTTTGTTTGCGCGCGGAGGCACGTCGCCGGGGCGAATCTCCGCTGCCGCGCCAGATTAATGCGTGGCGGGATGAGCTCCGGCGTGATCTCATGGCGGAATGGCAGCAACGACTGTCGCAACCGAAGGCTGGGCTCGCTGTCATTGCAGCGGTAAGTCCCCTCTTTGAGGAGTGGCTTGAGAGACGCTACGGCGTCCTCACCTACCGCCTGACGCAGGTGCTTACCGGACACGGGAGTTTCGGTAGGTTCCTGTTTCGGATTGGGCGGGAGGAAACGCCCGGGTGTCATCACTGCGAGGATCGCCCGGAGGACACGGTGGAGCATACGGTGGCGGTGTGTCCTGCGTGGACTGAGCACCGCCGTGTCCTCAGGAATGTGATCGGCGACGGCGACCTCTCGCATCCGGCTCTGGTTCAGACCATGGTACGGAGCGAGGGGGACTGGGATGCCGTCTCCTCCTTCTGCGAAGCAGTCATGCTAGCTAAGGAGGAGGCGGAGCGCGTGAGGGAACGAACCTCCTCACGACCCGGCCGTCGCGAGAGACACTCCGGGCGTCGGGGATCGCGAGACGATCTCCGGCCACCGTAAGCACGGGCCTGCGGACGGCGAGCACGGGTGACTCGCCGCCCGACCAGAACCAGGCCCGAGCGTACGGCGCGTCGCGTTCCGCGCGCGCCTCAAGGAGCCATCAGACCACCACAGATGGGGCCTAACAGGGCTGACGCCGATACGGAGCCGCGGAAGACTTAACGGGTTGCCGGGGCTCCGGCTCGAAGTGCAGGAGTAGGAACGGGGTGGTTTTTAGTCAGTAAGAGTCTGACACTCCCTCCCGCCTCACCCGGGCGGGAGAAGTCATTGGATGATTTTCCCCCCTCAAAAAAAAAAAAAAAAAAAAGACTAAAATTGACGTAATGTATAACCTACATATCATAAGTAGGTACATACATCTAGTTGTCTAATATAAATACTTCTACATCTACATACTTTAAATTCCTTTCAGTTCAATTTTTTATTTTAAAATTATAAATATCTCCAGCTTGGATTTCATCCTAGAACCTCCAGCACTCTGTATAGTTATTGGGGCTATTCTAAACTATAAAAGAATCTCTAATTCTATAAGAACTGAATATTTAAAAAACTCTACACTTATGGACGTCTAAACACAAAAAAAAAGTTGACAGCATTGCGCTCTCCAATTTGTTTTTTATTAAATGACACATCCATACACATTACGGCACTTAATGCCACTGCACAATTAACACCCATTTTTCACTATTTATGTTATGAGTCCCATGTAATAGGGGGTGTGCCTCTCGCCATATACAGGGCATAATAGCAGACCCCGTGCTACTACTGAGATTTTTTTTAACGCCATGGGTGTCACCGGTGGCCGACGTTAACGGAGGATTTGCTTTAACCAGTTTTCTATTGGCAGTGACCTTAAAAACCCAGTAATACTTTGCCCAACCCGGGAATCGAACCTTGCCCGGCAGTCGCACTTGCGACCACTAGGACAACGATGTAGTCATTATTTATTAAATATCATCATATCATTTATTAAATGAATTATTTAATAATTTTATTAATTATTACTATTAATATATTGTACCACTTACCTATTTTCTTTCTACGCACCGTATTCTCCTCGCCCCCATCAAGAATATGCGTCACTTCCATAATATTAAAGTTGCATTTCGACCTTTCCATCGCCAGATCGGGGTTCACCTCCATTTTTTGTAACTGACTCATGTTAAAAACTTTAATAAACTGTACTAATTTCCGTAAACATATGCGTCCCGTCGAGTACTTTCAACGTACGTAAGGTGACTGAATTGTTACAGGTGAACAGTGAATCGACAATATCATTATACTTCATCAACCAATAATTTTATTCAACTTATATCCATATAATGCCTAATTTCATTAAGTCCCCAACAAGTGACGACCATCGAATTACTCGATAAAGTTTTATTATCAATGCATTATGCACCCGGATAACATTTGACATTGAACACCGAATTCGTTTGCATAACAACTCTTATTTGCACTGTCATAGATTAGATTATACACTGCAATTTATTGCAAGATAACAAGGGATTAATGTTTACTGTGTAATTTATTTTTATCCTCATATATGTAAGTATCTTTGTACCTATAAATGCACTGTTTTACACACTTTAGAACACATCACACAATGCAGTTCAATTTCATATTTGAAGCGCATGCGTCACTAGTAGTACTTGCGCCGGAGTTGTTGTTCAGTAAATGCGAATGACCTCCGCGCATACAACGATGCGAATATATATACATTCTATCTAAAGAGATGGCGACTATAACAGCGACCAGTTTGCGTAGAATTATTCAAATTTTAAAGCAAAAAATAATAATTTTAAATTATAAATAATACCAATGTAATTTTTTTCGTTTGTTTTTCGTCTACTTTAGTAATAAATGCTAATGACAATTCTATATTTACGATTTTAAGTTGTAATCGCGTTTGTATTAGGTAAAGTATCTGGGTCTTTGAAATAAAGAAACATGAATTCGATTGATAATAATGTATTTGATCTAATTTCAATATTATTCAAACATTGTTGAAAAAAAATACAATACGTAGAGTACATAATGTAGATAATATACTAAAGTCGTTATCAAAAAAGGAATAAAAAAGTCTTCATCAACAATCACTGGGTACCTCTTCCACCCGCTTCTTTAACTTATGTTAAGGAAAGTGCCATTTTTACATGAAAAAAATTTCATATCAGTATTGAGAATTTCTTAATCGAAATTCGCTAAAGTCATTTAATCCGAAACCATTTAAGACGTTATTGTACTTTATATTTAATTTTCTTAAACAATATAAAATATCACAGTTTGGCTTTCATCATTAGGGGCTTGAGGTACTTGTGGAAGCTCTGGTTGACTGGCTCCGCGTTCAGAGGACTCTTCAGCGCCTCCTCCATCAGACGCTCGTACACGCGACCGTCGTACGCACCCAGGGTTGAGTTTAGAATCTATGAGTAAAAATGTTTTACATTTTTAAAGAGAAAAGAAAATAACAGCCTTCTAATGATAAAGTGGTCAGTTGACTGTAGAACAAGCAGATTTCAACAATACCAGGTTTTTTATATTTTAGAGCTGATCTATCCAGAGGACCCTTTGCCCCTTATAGACGTTAATGCTAACTACTAAGATAATTTTAATGATGTAAGAGTCCCACACCTTCTAGTTGATTGCCCCAAAGGGGCGGGTATTTGATGTAAAATCAATGAATTTGATACCACGGGATGTTAATCATAATCAGCAATAGTTACCTCATCCTTAATATCGAAAGCATCGACAAGACCGACGGCGTTAGGTCGCAACAGTCCTAATAAGACTTCGTATCTGGCCTGCAGCTTGGCGATATCAGCCCTCGTTATTGTTGAATACTGAAACAAAATATTACAGGTTTTTATAACTCTATTGGTATTACATTGTTCTCACATTATTTAACTCAACGAAAGAATGTAACCAAATATTGTATTAAGAACATGAAAAAGAGACCCTTAAAAAAAACCTATGGAGTTTTTTTTTTAAGGGGGGAAAATCATCGAATGACTGCTCCCGCCTGGAAAAAAAAAGCCTATGGAGTTTCTTACTCGTTCTTCTCCATAGGAATCTACACTTTCGAACGAGCAAATAGCTTCACTGGAGGACTGACCTACAGACTGACATTTTTTCTTATTACATATTTAATATTTAAATATTTTGTTTTGACGTTCAAAAGTGCCTTCCTGGTCTAATTGAAATAAATGATTTTGACTTTGTCTTTGATTTCTAGATACTTAACACTTTCTACCGTAGTCAGAGACATTTATTTTGCCGTGCCTAGGTTAGCTAGCTTTAGTTTTAGGTATACATACACGTAAGTTATTTTAAAATTAATTTCAATCATTTTTAAAACAGTAACAAAACTAATTAGCGCTGTATAATAATTAGTGTTGAAGTGTTGGTTATTTACATTGTTTAGACGTACAACTAATACCTATTGCGTAAACTTCCATACATCTAGCATAAATGTTTATAAATTAAGCCAATATTCCAGTATTGCACTCCATTATACAACTACTTAAGAATGTAGTGATTCACAAATTGTGCACTTTATTGTCATATAAGTCCTAAAAATCTGTCATAGAATGTCCAGACAAGACACAAAAAGTGGGATGTCCTCTTATGGCCGACATTAATGACGATCTGAATCTAAAATATGTGAATCTATCATTGTTCTTAAAAGAAATTCTAAAAATAATGTTACAATTTGATCTTCATCCAAAGATTTCGGATTGAGCTCATTTATTTATTTCAACCGCCAATTAAATAAGCAGTTATTACAAGCAACTCACCAGTAGAAGATCTCCTCGTTTCTCCAGAGCCCAGTAGATGAGGTACAATTCACCCATCTGCAGCAACACTTTGCCCAGACTCGGGGATGACTGCGCTGCAAGACGTGAGAGCTCCCTCCACGACACTTCACATAAGATGGCGCGGCAGTGAGCCTACGAGGAAAGAAGATGTGGAAGTTTTTGTAACCTCACCAAAAATTGCAAGATACAGTATGACTTTTGATATTAAATTACATACATAACATCTACGCCTTTTATCCCCAAAGGGGTAGGCAGAGGTGCACATTATGCCACTGTAGAGGTACAATGTAACACCCACTTTTCACTATTTATGTTATGAGTCCCATGTAATGAGCCTATTGCCATATACCGGGCACAATTCCAGACTTCGTGCTACTACTGAGAATTTTTTTAAAATCCAGTTGCCCGACCCGGTATCAAACCCGAGATCCCTGGCCCAGCAGTCGCACTTGCGAGAGACTGACTTGTGATATTAAATTAAAATTGTAATAAACTTGAAATACATAAGACAAATAAACAAACCGGTGTTAAATCAGGACCCATTAAATATTTGGAACTTCTTGAGCGCTCACCAATAAATTGCAAAATATGGTAAGACTTTTGTACTAAACTAAGGTCGTAATAAACTTAGAAATAGACTAACGCCCGAATACTGAAAGGCTTACTTAATTTAAGTTATACCTAAATATCGTACCATCTCTGTCGTTTTACAAAGAATTTGAGGTGAGAGAACTATACGTTTAACTGGGGCTTATTTTTTTTTTCTTTTTAATGTTGCCCCACAATAGGATTTTCTCCTGTGTCGTGGGTGCGTTTACAAACATACAAGTTCACATACACATCACATCTAGACCCGGAACAACAATCTGTGGATCACACAAAGAGTTGTTCCGTGCGGGAATCGAACCCGCGACACGTTGCGCGGCAGCCAGTTGCCCAGCCACCGCACCTAACATGACATTTAAGTATATGGACATATAAGACATACCTCACTGGCATTAACTAGCTGAACTGAGGCACTGTTCCAAGCGTCTTCGTAATCCATGCCACTCTTCTCGTACTCCTGAAGACTTTCACAGGCAGCCTTGGTCTTCCTGCGTAACAAATGAAACTTAAATATCTGGAATACACTTAATATGAAACGCAAGTAATTGCTTCTATCGTAAACACATTTTCGTGATTTAATTGACAAAGTATCTTAAAGTCTTACCGAAAGAAAATTTTAAGAAAGCTTAAACAATCCCAGCCATGAATAGTAGCTGATTAGTTTTGTTTATCCTGACGAATGAAGAATGATAAAGATACTTACCCTGCAGCAATGGCGAGGAAACCGCTAACGATACCCTCGGGGCTGGTCTCCCAGTGCACGCGGTCGTTATTGAAGAATCGCAACAAGTATGACACTGTTGGTGTCATCGCGTTACCCAGTGTCGCCTGCTTCCAAGCCTTCACAAGGAACCTGAATAATAAAAAAAATAATGTAAATTAGTTCTATTATTCAAACTTATATAATGATACCTTTCCCTGATCGAAAGAGAAGTCAACCTTGACATTCAATAAGATTGCTAATGAACATATTCAAAGTAATCAATGTTATTCACACCTCTATCATCTCCATCAGACTCTAATCTCTAAATTGGAACTAATCCAGAGACATGTTATTTCTGTAATCTCATCTAGTAGGAGATAAAGTATCAACTGACTATAATAATAGTGGTGACCACAAACCTCGCAGTCTGCAACATAAGCACGGTATATTCTCCTTCGTAGGTGATCGTGGCGGCCACAATACCGTTGATGATGGGCAGATTGGAGGACGCCATGAAGCCGTGCCCGCCGCACGCGAGCCTGAACTCTTCAACACGTGCTGTCGCGTCACGACTGCACACAGCCTTCAGACAGCATGCTAGGGCGTGAAGCTGGAAGAAGGGCTGGCGTTAGGGGTGCTCGTATGTATATTACTTGTAAGTCCACAAAATGTCTTTAATCGACCAATACACAGGTTGTCAGTAAATGATAGGTTCACATGCTTGCCAATACAAGACCGATCACGAACGATAATTAAAACCACATTCTGGTAAAGGTTAGCATGACCTATCGCCATATGTGCCTCACAAGAACTACTAGGTACTGAAAACTCAGGAAAGTAAAATCGGTTGACTAGTTTTCGTTGTCCAAATCTACATCGTAAATCTATCCACAGTTCAAAATACAACAATTAGAACCATCCATAGAACCTTCTGCCTTTATTCAATTAATTTCAGTACTAGTCACTAACCTCAGGCAGTTGGTCCATGTTGCCCTTGCCGACGTCAGCGATGACCTTGGAGTAACTGTCCCAGAGCCAGTAACCCGTTACTCTGAACACATGGCTGGTGGCTACTCCGATGAACAGTTTGTGTTGCTGTGTCACGTAGTCCAGGATCTGGGGTTCAGGTTCACTGGAAAATTTGATAAGTTTATTTACAAATATGTTTAGAAGACATGAATACATGTATATGTTCCTACAACAAGAGAAACAATGCTACTTGGTCGTTTTACTTTACTAAGTCTTTCTTAACCCGTTAGGGGTTCAAAGTACTCACCCAGGTTTTGGTTGTGACTGATGTCTGACCGCAGAGTATCTGACAGCGATGGTAGCAGCTCTTGATAGTTCGTAAGCCACATCAGTAACGATGAGGACCCTCACGAACACCATAGTGCCGTACGTTAGCTTATCGTTTTTAGATTTTACGTATGTTCCATCCTAAAACATATAAAAATATGTCTTTAATATCAGGTTTAAAATTTGTCTTTAATATTAGGTTGAAAATTGAGACGAATTTAATCGGGGTGCCGATTTTATAAAAGGTTCCAATAATGTTACAAGTTTTTAATTACATTTTGAGGCAACTTGCCCTTTAACAAATTTGTATACGAAATTACAAAATGGTAAAATCCCCAATAAGATAGTCGTCGCAGGTCAAGCCTGAGAACTCGTAAGCAGTTAGTTAGTTGGTTACCGTGGAAACTGTCAAGCACTGAAACAATAAAGTAGAGGTACAATAATCAAGTCAATTGCCAACTCACCTTCAAGACTTGAGCATTCTTCATCAACATGCTCCTTCTTGGAATCCTGAAGTGATCAAATCCTAGAAACCCGTTGTTAGCTGTCTGGAAACCCATCTTGGGTCCGATCTCTCCCACTTTCACACCAGGAAGAGGCATGTGGGTGTCGGTGTCACGGATTTGGACGAAGAATGGATGGACGCCATAGCATTCGCCCTTAGAGTACAGCTGGGCTACTACAATGCAGTGGTTGGCTGTATGTGCCACTAAAGAGGAAAAACATACATTATCAGAAGAAAAATCACACATGTTTTTACTGTAATTATCGATATGATAGTCACAATTATTACTCATATATGATAGTATTATACCATTTGAGTGCATTAATAATACCGTTTTCAAGAATTTTTTTCAAAAATTACCTATCCAGTTAGTGATATATATTTTTTTTTTACAAAATTAGAATGAGAAGAGAATTACAATTATAACCTACATCATGGAAAACGGTTTGGTCTACTCACATCCTCCGGGCCACCATTTGTAAGCAGTGAGGGTAGGAGTGTGCAGCACAAATTCTTCTGTGGCAGGATCGTATGTAGCTGTCGTTTCTAATCCTCTCAGGAAAGTTCCGTGGCCGAGTTCAGTCTGAAAGAGTTTTCACCAGCAAATCAAAATTCCGTTCACTATAAAATACTCGCAGTAGAGAATAATTCTAGATACGATTTAAAAAGCTTTATAACTACCATTTCCCATGAGATATACTAATCTAGAAGAGAGAGATCTTAAGCCATCTTGTCACGTAGCAAAATGATTGTAGGGAGAGATCCTACCAGCTCAATTCATAAACATCACTGTAGTACTATTTGGTGTTGAATTACCTGTGCATAAGTTCCCAGGATCCCCATAGACATAGCTTGTGGCAGCCACTCGGCCATTTGCTCAGGGTCGGACTGGTTCAGTATGGTCGGCACGAACATACCCATGTGTAACATGAACGGTGATATGTCTTTTACCACACCGAACGTCACACGGTACTTGTTCGTAGGTCTGTTGTTAGAAAATTATGTTCAACGTTAATAAAACTATATTTAATATAATACTAGCAGCCCGTCCCGGCTTCGCACGGGGTAGAGAATTATTTATTTTTGGAAAATTGGATTGTTGTAGTGACATAACTACAATAATAGTTGGACATATGCTACCGCGGCGTTTTTTGTAGACATTATGATATTCTTCAATATTGTTGTACATTATTTTGTTCTATCGCTAATAGTTTCGGCAGCGCATTCGACGAAAGACATTTTAAGACTCATTTTTCTACACCTTCGGTTACATTGTTCAATTTTACCAAGGATCCCTAATTTTTTTCAAAATGAAATATATTGTCAAATTGGAAGAATGTAGCATTCCATTGGTGAAACAATTTTTTAAATCGGCTCAGTACTTTTTGAACCTATTCATTACAAACATACAAAAATAGGTACAAATCTTTCCTCTTTATAATATTAGGTATAGACTTACATCACAAAAGAATACAGTAGAATTTTACGTTGATTCAAAGTCTTCCTTTTTCGACTAAATTAAAATCAATGCAGTTATTTTAACTACAACCGAAGTCCTCGTAGAATTAGTATATATTTTTTGTATCTGTAGTGTAGTTTGGCGCTCAAAACTTTAGACGCCTTAAAAGTAAGGTATTCTTTTTGCCCTGTTTCATCACTTTCAGCCAAGCTATACTTTACTTACTTGAACGCATCCATGGTATTATGTTTAGCTGCATACTCCTTGAGAACCTCGTACAAGATACAAGCTTTCTTGATGGCATACTCGTATCTTTCTTTATGGCTAAGATATTCTTCTGGAACCTCATTCTTTGTGCTCAATCCTTCTGTACTTAGCACCAAGTTTTCTGGAAAATTTTAAAAGATATTAATTAATTTATTTATTTATATTTAAGAACACTTAAAACTATCATTACAGGGCATCATGTACCCTAATGCGATAACAAAACAATCTCAAAATGATCAGGTATGTGGTACCTTCGAAGTTCGCAGGTAAACAAATGTGTGGTAGTCCTCATCGAGTAGTTGTAGTCGCTTCATTCAAAATACTGACTGACATACAGATATCCTAACATTACTGGGAAAGGGAGGATGAAAAAAGGCTGTAACTACGATGTATGCTTTCTTCGATTGTCAATGTTTGATGTGTGCATGTGAATATGAGCCCCTGTCATAGCTTCTAACATCGTCTAGAAAACTAGTCGAGTTACTAATTCAGAGTTAGTAAGTAAGCCGTTAGACATAGTAATTAATATAGTAGGCATGGATCACGAAAGTTATATAAATGTAAAAATGCAACAATTACATAACACAAAGAAGAAGGGGTAGGCACAGGGGCACATTATGCCACTGTACAATGTAACACCCACTTTTCACTATTTATGTTATGAGTCCCATGGGACTCCTCCCTATTACATGTAATAGGGAGTGATCCTATTGCCATATACCAGGCACGATTCCAGACTCCGTGCTACTAACCAGATTTTAATCCAGTAATACTTTACCCGACCCAGGAATCGAACCCGAGACCCCTTGACCGGCAGTCGCACTTGCGACCACTCGGCCAACGAGGCAGTCAGTAAAAATGCAACAATTATAAAAACGAATTCGTGAAAGACAAAAATTGTAAAATGAACTATGAACTAAGGGCAAATACTACGAAAACAAGGATTACACCTATCAGGAATGTGCTATCTAACAACGTACAACAATAAGATATTGTAAAAGAATTAACATATTAGCGAAGATATCTTATAGATAAAACCGCGGATAAGTAAACTATTGAAGGAATATCGAAGTTTGAACTCTATCTATTAGCTTAATACGTTTCATTTACGTTTTACCCAAATTTTTAATACGTAGGTACTTCTTTACGTCATAAAAAGCAAATATCGTGAACATTCTGTTACCGAACAAAACATTGCTAATAGACACGAACGCATTGGAAACAAGAAAATACAAGTCTCAATAACCAATTTGTTGGTAGATCTCCCCAATCTCCCCAATTCTTGAATCCCCAACGATCCTCAAACTCCTAATCCCCAAAAGGCCGGTAACGTACTTGTAACGCCTCTGGTGTTCCAGGTGTCCATGGGCGACGCCGATTGCTTACCATCAAGTGATCCGTCTGCTCGTTACCGGCTTATGCCATAAAAAAAAAAACAACCGATAGATCTGGAGACAGAGTATCAAATTCAATTCAACCCTCATCATCAACAGTACTTGACAGTCTATTCCTAGAGCCTCCTCTACATACGTGAGTTTGTCATAACCTAAACATTTGACCAGTCTAAACATCACAATTATCATTATGTCTGTTAGGGAAAATATCTACAAAGGTCAAAGTTTTTTTTATGGAATGAGCCGATAAACGAGCAGACGGATCAGCTGATGGTAAGCAATCAACGTCGCCCTTGGACACCTGAAACACCAGAGGCATTACAAGTGCGTTACCGGCCTTTTGGGAATTGGGAATTTGAGGATTTTTGGGGATTCATCTCACTCACACGACAAAACACAACGCAAGCGTTAATTCACGTCGGTTTTCTGTGAGGCCGTGGTATCACTCCGGTCGAGCCGGCCCATTCGTGCCGAAGCATGGCTCTCCCACACTTAAACTTAAAACTCTACATAAAGTAAAATATTTCAATATACAATTGTTGCAAAACTGAACACTCATTCATTTATCAGTACAGTAAATACAAGTACCCATGTATCAATATTTGCAAATACAAACAAACATATCTATAAACAGATATACACCTATACTTCTAGGGGCAAAGTACGACCGACGGCCGCCAGTGTGATAAAGGAAACATGTCATCAATTCAAGATTCATCTTGTTGTTAACTTACTCGTCGACTACAGAGCGATATTTTTGCGAAATGGCATTGTCATACTTGTTTTTTTTTTTTTTGTAAAGTATAGATAGAAGAACTTTGGATCATTTTGCATTTTAAATTTAAAGCGTAATTTGATTGTTTAATTTTTACTGACAGAACATTGGCTCCTAAAACTGTCGTCAAGTCAGTCACGATAGAATTACAAAAATAACAACTCTGCTAATTAATGCGCACGTTCGATTTTTTTTATTTTGGATTTTTTTTTAAATGGTAAATCAAATGTTACTTTACTTACCAACATAATGCCTTTCCTCAGTGCCCTGAGCTCCCCCATCAATTAGATTGGTTAGTTCCGTTACATCGAATGTACATTTTTTTCTTTCTTTTATAAGATCTTCGCACACTTTTGGGTCTGCCATTTCGGTCGACGGTCACCTTTGCACTGACTGCGCCGATATTGTATCGACGACAATTACGTGATAATGAATGATTAGATTACTCAAGCAGGGGGCTCCTACAAAAATAATTACATTGTAAAATGAGATAAGTAGATAAGCATATTTTACATTATCTATTATATCGAAAAAGTCCTTATATCTGTTTTTTTTTATAACTACAGCAGTTACAGTCTTAGCTTGTTAGGATTTCATTTTACAGTCAACAAAATTCATGGATAGTATAGTACATAAGTATAGAATGACCATTGCATAATATAAAAGCAATTGCTTAAATCACAAGTTTATTGCAACAGCATCCAGCCATTTGTTTAGCATAAATATTTCAGGATCATGTCAACTGTGTTTAGGAAACCATAATTTTCCAGGAAAGTTTTTATTCAGTGGATAGGTAGGTGTATTAAAGGGGCAAGTCCGCCACAAACTCCCAAAAGCCCTGTGAAAACACTGAAAAACTCCAGTCCTCGGCGCACTCTGATTGGTTGGTTTATTGGCGCCGACCAATCAGAGCGCCGAACGCGTACTCGTTTCGAATACTTTAAACGTAAATGAAACTCGTACTAAGGCCTCTGAAGAAAAACGACTACATATCTGTTTAATTTTGGTCGAACCTATTCTCATACATGATAAGTAAGTACTTGTGTACTGTGAGGAAAATGTTTATTATTATTGGGAATTTGCTAACCAAAAACTGGTCGTGGTGGCCCGGAGGTTTAAGACGCCCGCTTCTCATGTATGAGGGTGCGGGTTCGAAACCTAGCAACGGCAAGTACCAATGTGACTTTCTCCGAGTTCTATATACTTTCTAAGATTATTTAGACACCACTGACTAACGGTGAAGGAAAAACATCGTGAGGAAACCTGGACTTATAATTTCTTATTATTAGTTTGAAATCGCCAACCCGCATTGAGAAAGCGTGGTGGTTAATGCTCAAACCTTCTCCGTGTGAGAAGAGGCTTTGCTCAGCAGTGGGCACTTATAGGCTGTTGATGTATGAATTGTAACCAAAAACCAAAAAAAACTATCTAGAAATCCATTCTTAATATATCTAAACAGTCCGAGCAGGCAACCAAATGTACCAAATGTACTCAGTCAAAAACCTGAATGTTGTTGGTCTAAGTCAAATCTGATGTCCTTGGAACAGCAGTCACTTATGATCATTTGTTGAAATAAGACAATCAGGATGTTATTACTGTGAACTTTGTACTGTACTTTTCGACTTTGATGGGTGCTTAATAATCTGTTTATCGTGATGATCTCACAAAATAATCTTCATCGTCTGTTGTTTATTTATATTCTGGATTAGAGGTTAATTCTGTACTTCCGATCACTGATTATTATCAATACGGACCACATGATTTCATTTGCATTGGAAAGTACAAAATATATTATGGATAATGTTATATTGTTATTATTAGATACGTAAAGACTTTTTGCTTTGATCAAGGTCGTTGAGAAAAGACAGACGTAATGTCATTTCGGAGTCGCGGAGAACCTAACGGGTTACCGGGGCTCCAGCTCGAAGTGCAGGAGACGGAACGGGGTTGTTTTTAGTCAGTAAGAGTCTGACACTCCCTCCCGCCTCACCCAGGCGGGAGAAGTCATTCGATGATTTTCCCCCCTTAAAAAAAAATACATAATGTCACTTAGAAATGATTGAAACACCAAAATGTCAGTGGTGTATTTATGTGTGCATGTAGTTGCAACACCGTAATGTATGAACTGTAATGACGGGCTAAGTCACGCGACAGATGTCCTCCGTGTCAATGTGTGTGTGTATTCTGCGTGTAAGACTACAGTAGTCAGGTGCCACAGTAGTTGTTTCAAGAGACTGTGTACGCATTTTTTTCAACATGTTTGGCTCTTATATGTCTCAAGTAGAAGTTGCAGTTGCTTTAGTTCAGTCGATGGAAAGATCGGTTTTCAGTCATAATCACTACATAGTATAAAACAAAGTCGCTATCCGCCGTCTGTCTGTCCCTACGCAGGTATGCTTAAATCTTTAAAACTACGCTACGGATTTTGATGCCTTTTTTTAATAGATAGAGCGATTCTTAAGAAAGGTTTCTTTGTATAATACATGCATATTGCACCCGTGCGAAGCCGGCCTGGTCGCTAGTCATATATAAATACCATGCATCGTGTTATGGAATTATAATTTCCGCTATGTAATTGAAGTTTTGAATATTTGTATTAAAAGTAATAAATAGGAGCAGGTAATATTTCTTTACGAAACTGTGATAATCAAATACCTATGTTGTGTGTAACTGTGTTCGTACCACGTTCGTACTAATATATTCGTTGACCAAGATATTAACAATTTGTTTGTCAGTATGGAATTTTTTTAGAATGAGACGAAAGACCACGGTTGTGCTTATTGGTCATATATACTATCACGGTTTTAATTGAAGAACCTACTGGTCTAAAGTATTGTTTAACTCGTCGAGTACCGGTTTTGTAGACACAATTATAGAACAATAGGTTGCGGTCACCGGTGACCGCTTGGTGTTTGACAGTTTAATTATGGGATTATATTATTTTGTTCTTTCTCTAATCTGTTTTTTTTTTTTATTAAGTATTACAATCACACGCACCTGCAATAAAAGACCTTGACTTTGAGATGCTAGCAAAAGTAACGTTATATTTTTCTCTATGTGCATATTTTAAGTGTACCTAATGGTTCCCAATTACATATTTATGCAAAATTTAAGAAAAAACATAGTCAAGTCAAATAAGCGGACAATTTTGAAGGTCACGTAGGTACGTAGGTAGGTATTTGCCTAGATAAAATATTTTTACAACAAAATTTCTCTTTTCTTGACTTAAACAATAAATTAGGATAGGCACCTAGAGGTCGCAAGTGTTCTTTACAATATTTTCTTAAAATTGTAATCACTACCTACCTGTTGGTGGACCGGGGCCTATTTTTTATTATCTACTGAATTTTAAGTCCGTGCTGTGAGGGTTTCTCCCAGTTGTGCAGTCTCTTTGATGCCTTTAGGCTTAAGTCATTCTGTCTCATGCACTAAATTCACCCTGGAAACTGAAAACTATTGTTTTTTATTCTCTTCTAATAATATTTTCTGGTTTATTTGACTTTAGTGTTCCAGTGTTTTCGTGGTTTATATCTACTGGTAGATCGAATATATTTGAATTTAAATTTGATCTTGGCTTACAGGAATTGCAGCGGTTTTAGGAAGTTCTGGCGGGATTTTGCCATTAAATAATGGACGTGCTATCGTCAGTCTGTTTCATGTAGTAGTAGGTTTGAGTTCTACCGACAAAACGAACTAACAAAAACAGGCTGTTGTTATTAACACCTGCACCTCTACCTCTACAAAATTACACCATCAGGCTGTAGAGAGTAATTTATCATTAAATTCACAAAAAAACTATCACACAAACTACGCCGCGATTGGCCGCGAGTGCGACTGCCGGGCAAGGGGTCTCGGGTTCGATTCCCGGGTCGGGCAAAGTATCACTGGGTTTTAAAAAAAATCTCAGTAGTAGCACGGAGTATGGAACTGTGCCCGGTATAAGGCAATAGGCTCACCCCCTATTACATGGGACTCATAACATAAATAGTGAAAAGTGTTACTTCTGTGTGCACCTCTGCCTACCCCTTCGGGGATAAAAGGCGTGGTGTTATGTTATGACAAACTACGCCTATGTAAGTATTACTTTTAGGAAAATCATCGAATGACTGCTCCCGCCTGGGTGATGCGGGAGGGAGTGTCAGTCTATTAACCACCCCGTTCTTACTGACTAAAAATCACCCCCACATACTGACTAAAAACCACCCCGTTCCTTCCCTGCACGTCGAGCCGGAGCCCCGGTTACCCGTTAGGTTCTCCACGACATGTAAGTATTACTGGGCTTATAAAAATGCGTGTAAGTAAATATTTAATTGTTATTGAAACAAATGCTTGACATTTAACTTTACATGTATCAACACGCGCATTACTTATTTGTAGTGTAATTGCAAATTAATGTAGGTATTGAATTAATATCAAGAACAAATTCAGTATAATAAACATTGACCCACACACACCTAACTCCATTGACTACTGAAAACATATTAATTACTATATGTACTATCGGCAAAGTTTACGGTAGTACACTTTAAAAAAAAAACTTGTCGCAAAACCGCTATCGCTATCCACCGCCCTTTTCCCTGAGGTCGCTAGCGCCAAGTGAATGCAAATATCGCCTATGATGGTCGACCGCCTACATTGTCGATTGTACATGATATGACATGATAACCGTATATCAGTTCTTTTGTATTTTTGTATTTTTAGGATTTTCTGCCGTTGTGACTGTGTAAAAAAATACCTGTAACCTATTTTCCAATGACTGAGAAACCACAAAGCCATCTTTACTCTATCTTTCTTTTGACAGTATAATTCCTTAGTAGGAGTACCTTTATTCTCCAAGACTCATTTCTAAGTATTTCACAAGTCTAACTCACGATTAGTTATTAGTATTACACAAACGATCCAATTATAAATACTGATATTTCCAATATACATTTTATTTAAAATCTTAATTTACTAACTAACGAATGAATCAATAAAGTCAACCAGTAACACAGGTAAACGGAATGCAACGCAACTTCCTCATTGCATTGGTTTTGCACGCACGATTTCTCTACCATACAACCAAAGACTAACGTAATTGCAACATGACCAAAACCGTTGCTAATGCAAATCCTTGCCTGCTTTGGCTACTGCCTTGGCTAGTGCAAGAGAGAGTATCAGACTCTTACTAACAATGCTAACCCTTAACAAACTTTTACCTCTTCTATTATGAGGTAGTTAGGGGTTACTATTCAGGGGATAAGGGGGCCAGATGATTTCACATATACGTTTTGGTTTTCGAATCTTGGTTAAAGACTTCCCGGCAACCGGAGCGTGTGAACAAATAGTAGGACAATGGGCAAGTGGAATGATGCCAGGGTATAAAAATTAAAAATCGAATTAGACCGTAAGTTAGATAATGAAAAAATATTAGACACGTATTTTTTTATTTAGTCATAAAAAATAAAACAATACATAGATAAAATGAATCAAAGTTTAAGAGTGGCTAAAACGTCATTTCTACGTATAAAATGTACATAGAAGTGACGTCACGCGACATTTCAAATCAATATATCGTCGAAAGTATTCGTTAAAATACGTGTCTAATGATTTAAAATAATCTACCAGTCCAGTAGGCATCTACCCTATTGTTTTTATCGTTCATTTACTTCATAGTTTTTTTTTTTAATTTTTGGACAAATCATCTTTTGACGATACATTTTGATTTGGACTCATTAGATCTGTCTCTTTATTCTGACGATATGATTATTATGGTGTTACCTGGTCTAGTACCATGGAGAAGAAATAATAAATAAAAGAGTGTTTAAAAAAAATTCATAAACAGTCAACAAGCGACTACACGTAACCGCCTATCTATTTACGCAATTCATTGGAATTGAAATTGTCCTAATTTGTTAACATATAGTTTTGATTTAAATATTTAATTACTTTATTGTCATTAAGGTGAACTGTACATACTTATGTACCGTTCTTTTGTTACAAGTTCGTATATAATTTATGTGAAACGTTGATGACCAATTCAAGGTAACGGCTGTCTTCATTATAATTTGTAGTTGGGCCGATGTAACGACATATTTTTTTCAAAGAGTTCTGATTTCGTTTACGAATACTCTTTATCTACTATTTATCTGAACTTCTCTATGGTCTTGTCTTGTAGGAGCTGGTGAAACTTCAGTTAATCAAAGATTATAGAATACAGTACTTCCAGATGATATTTTTTTAATACAATATTAAAATTTGTTGGAACATAACATGGACCCTCATAAGACGGACCTCGCCTTACATAGTTCATAATATACTTATTCAAATTCACAGTGCTTTAAAACTTATGGAATAAATATTTATTTTAATTTTCCTCAACCTATTTAAAATCGTAAATACAAATAGTTCGTGTTGACAAACAATTAAAATATTAAAAAGGCATTTTTAAATTCCGCGCTTATTTTAATTCACACATGGATCCCTACAGATGGCAGCAGACTCGACTGAGAAACATGACATCTAGATTTTAAACTTCGAACTAAATAAGAAGAGGAAAACAACGATTTCGCTTCATTTGACAGATCGTAATAAGAAGATTGGTAAATAAACATAGATGGATAATAAGTCGAAATTTCAATAAAAAAACGGATAAAAACTTACTATAAATATCAGTAGAGAACACTTACACAGATATAAAATTAAAATAAATTCTACGAACAGACTTTTTACACTGGTCGTTCTACGTATATTTTTTACGTATTTTTATTTCACTGAGCACGTTCATCCAACGCCACTGTCGTTTCCACACTAACACAAACAAGCAACGTATTGCTATTCGTATTTACACATAGATAATTTGGGTAAGGAGAAGTATCTCGTACCTAATAACTAGACTGAATGACTGACATACTTTTCAATCGAGTCTTAGAGTTACGTAGCCATATATTATGGATCATATACATATGTTAGGTACATTACTATTTATAAGAGTCGCCTATGACCTACGCCAATTGGGTATCTCAGTTCTAATTACAGAATACAAACAGGCTTTATATATTATACTCCAATCTAGACAGAGAAGTGTAAAAACTTATCCAATGATTACCTTAGTTGACTGCGTTGTTGGCAGAGTGATTGCAAGTGCGGCTTCTGGTCAAGAGGTCTCTGTTTTTATAATAGCTAACTATCGTGAGACATTCTAAATTAACTGTTCACACGGCTACACATCAAGCTATACATAACCAGTATAAACTGAACGTTAAATGTGCGGAAAGATGATGCGACGCGGCACCAGGATAAACTGGTTTTGTATAGGTTGATGTGTGGCCGTGTGTACCACTGATATAATAATGATTAATGATAATACTGAGTAGGCTGCGCGACATCGCCGCGACCCGCACGCTGCTCATGAGGAAGAACCCCTCTGTGGTTCGAAATTAGTAGAGCTTTTCTCAGTATATTCACATGACTTCACGTGAGTAACTCGCGATTGTTTTTAGTAGTTAATAAAAATGTCTCGGGTTCTATTCCCGGGTCAGGCAAAGTATAAAAGCACGGAGTCTGGAATTGAGCCCGGTATATGGCAATAGCCTCACCTCCTTTTACGTAGGTCTCATAACATAAATAGTGAAAAGTGGGTGTTACATTGTACAGTGGTATTAAGTAATGTGCATCTCTGCTAACACCTCCAGAGATAAAAGGCGCGATTTTATGATTATTATATATGTATGTCATTGTATGTATCTACAGTAGAATTACAGCAGAACAGAAAATATTTTACATTCGAACTCTTTCGGTCAAAGTCATAATGTAGACGCCCAAACTTACGACCTGCGTCATTGAAGCAGGTACCTACCTCAATTAATATTTTATAGTTAAGTGATACGATTATGAATTATCTAACTAATAATATTATATTACTTGCTCTGTAAATTACCGCATAAACGAGGAAATCGCTTGAAAATTACATGACTACGACATAATAAAACAAACCTTTTATCGCAAAAAGGGGTAGGCAGAGGTGCACATTACGGCATTAAAAATACATGAAAATAGTCAACCATTTTAGTTATTTTTTGTATACCTAGTTATGGAAATTGGTATCTCTTTAACTCAAACATTAGGTTAGTAAGATAAGATAATATAAAGTAAGTGAACAGTTCAAGATATGGACAAAAATATGTTTTTATTTACCTTCGATTCAATTTTGTTTTTCTTAAACAGTTTGACGCTGAATTAATCACCGAAGGTTATAAGCAAAACGGACGAGTATGGATAGGGGAGTAACTATCCACGCACGTTTCGTTATTTGACGAATGCATGCAATCTTCACAAACAAAAGGCGGCCTACAAATCACAAATTCTTATTTAGGTTCGATTTTTTAAGCATCAGTTTCTTTTTAGTTTAATGACACAAATAATCTTTTTTTTTTTTCTTTGGCAACCGAGTCTCCAATACGATGTGGTCGACAATCACAAATTATCAGTTTATCGATTTAAAATTTGACAGTTTTTAATATGGAAGAATTGTCAAATGTTCAAAATTATTCGTCAGTTAAAATTTATCTGCCATTGGAAAAATCAGCTCTTAGAAACAATGAAAACTGTCCACTCAGCGGCAATGTTATGCATTCGTCAAATGACGCACCGTGGTAGGTCTAACACTACAAAGTTAGTTTTGATACAAGGTGTAGTTTTGAAACCGTGGCATTAGAATAAGAATAAGAATAAGAACGTTTATTTGCACGAAGTATGGTAATTACAGGTAGTAATAATTATAAAAAATAGTCCCACATACATCGCCTACTGTTATCGCCCCCCCCCC